CAAGCAGGTGGTGGAGTGGGTGCTCACGACTTCAATTCCTCCAGGGACTCCTCCCTCCATGGGAGTCCAGGTGATCTCTGAGGGGAAGGGTTTTGAGGAGATTGATAAAATTTGAAATAATTATTTGGAAAATAATTTGGAATTTGGGGATTAAAGTAGGTCTTTTTAGTAGAAAATATTTTTCAATAAAAAGTTCTCTAAAGTCTTTTTAATAGAGAGAAGTCTATTTAAAAGGAATAGGAAATTCTCTAAAGTCTTTTTAATTAAAAAAAAATTCTCATTAATACTAAAGCAACTGAAATTAGACCAGAATAAAGGCAGATGTATAAAAGATCCCTGGTGTATTTCCATCTTCTTGATGGTTTTCCAAGAAAGTCTAAAAGAGGTGTCAGTTAAGCATTATGTGAACCATCCTATGTGCAAGGCCCGCTTGGCTTTGCATCCCCACCAGGCCAATGGTGGAAATCTTTCTGGAAATCTTTATTGTTTCTGAAGTGAATCTATGAGGAAATGGTTTTTTTTACCAAAGCTCTAATGGGGACAGTAAACCTGCCATGTGCTTCATAGGATGATCCTGTTTCTGCCTCAGAACTTAAAAAGAAAACCCTGGAATATATCTTCTGACTTAAAAATGAAATCCCAGCTTAAACATAAAATCCTGGAATAAATTTCTTAACATCTGTTCCAACAGAAATCAAAGTTTGAGAGAGTAGTTTCTTCTTCCCCAGAGTTTGCTTATTCACATAGAAGTGTAATAGATTGAGTATTGTGTTCCCCCCACCCCCAATTCATATGTTGAAGCCCTAACTCCCAACGTGATGGTATTTGGAGATGGGACTTTTGGGTAGTTATTAGGGTTGTGATGAGGTCATAAGAATAGGGCCCTCATGCTGGTGTTAGTGCCCTCATATGGAGAGAAACCAGAGGGCTTGCTCTCTTTCTCAGTGACTTCACAAGACATCATGTGAATGCACACTAAGAAAGTGGCATCTGATCACAATGACAATGATGGCATTTTGATCTTAGACTTAGAAAATAAATGTCTGTTGTGGAAGCCACTGAAGCCACGCTATTTCGTTATGGCAGTCCAAGCTCATTAAGACTGAGAAGTGGGTGCTGCTGTAACCTACATATGCATAAGCAGCTTTGAAACTGGTTAATGGGTAAGGGGTAGAGACCAGAAGAATTTTGAGATATATGCCAGAGACGTGAACATTAAGGGTGATTCCAGCACAGAGATAAGAAATACGTTATTAAAAGCTGGAAGAAAGACAATCCTGATTATAAAGTGGCAAAGAACTTGGCTGGACTAGGTTCTGGTGTTTTGTGTGAAGTAAAACTTTTAAGCAATGAAAATAGATATATAGCTAAGGAGATTTCTGAGCAAAGTGTTGAAGGAGTGGCATGGTTCCTCCTGATTGCTTATGATGAAATACAATAGGAGATGCATGAATTGAAGAAGAAGGAATTTTATACATGGGCTGTGTGTTTATGACTTAATAAAAAAATTTATGGAATGATTTTTCAGCCTATTTTTATTACAAATAAGAGAGGTTGTTCTAAAGAGAATGCTATGAGTGTGGCAAGCAAGCAGCCTTATCATTTTGTCCAGCTGGTTGCAGTAGACATCGTTCAGAATGTGGACCACCAACCAGACGCTGTTAGCTTTTTTGGATGAATATTTGGTTTTAGACTGAGTTTTGGCAGTTCATCTTTATCCAACCATTGTGCTGAATGCTTGCCATTATCAAAAAGAATCCATTTTTCCACACACATACTAATGGTTTGCCTTTATGTTGTGACAGCAAAGAAAGGCAAGCTTTGAGATGTCTCTTCTGCTGCTTGTTTAATTCAAACAGAACCTGTCTATCCAGCTTGTTTATCTTGCCAATTTGTTTCCAATGGTTCAACATCACTGGTGTAGTGATGTCAAACCTTGCTGCTAATTCACACGTAGGTTGAGATGGATTTGCTTCCTCTACAGCTTTCAGCTCAACATTATCCACCTTGGTCTCAGGTTGTCCATGTGGCTCATTTTCCAGATTAAAGTCACCAGAACTTCTCACACCAGTGACATAATGTGCATTCACTGGCCACATCCTTCCCAAACACTGGGCTGGTATTTCCAGCTATCTGCGCTCCCCTGGGTTCCATGACAGAACTCATATTTGAAAGCAACATAAATTTTTGACTTTTCCTTGATTCCACGAAAATTGCTCTTAAAAAATTTGAAAGATAATCACAAACCAAAACGTGCATTTGAAAGAATGAGGATGTGCCTTCACAATAAAAATAAAATGAGAAGTGTCAAAGTGAGCTGTCAGAGATCTCAACTGTCAAACTTAGTACTTCAGGAAATTAGACATTTCATACTTAATAACCTAAATATATTTCATTGATCGATTTGTCTATTCACATGCTAATTTCAAACTGTTTAATATTTCCATTGCAGAGTGCTAAAATTCAAAGGCTCTGGAATCAGAGTGCCTGAAGTCAAATCCTCATGCCACCATTTATTGTGTGTGACTTTCAGCTAGCTACTAAAATGTTATATTCAACTTCTTCATCTTTCAAAAGATAAGATAGCAAAATAGTATTTGCTGTTGGCTTTCTTCCCTATATCTTATTT